GAATCGGTTCGTGGAAATTTAGCGAGCGGGCGAAAGAACGGGGACTAGAATGACGCGATTCCGGTGAAGGGTCCGATCGAGATTAACCCTGAAATTGAGGGTTCTTCCGTGGCCATGGATGGACGAGAGCTCCTGCCTCTCGATACTCGAGGGAGAAATTGGTTAAATTAAAACGTTTCTCAAATCCACTCCAGAGTTCATATTTGAAATTCCGACTCTCATGCGATACGCATTAATTAAAATTTTATCTGCAGAAAATATAAACGTATAAAAACATGCGGAATATTAAAAGCTCGTATTTTTCCAATGTTTAAATTGTAAAATATAAATATGTATCCAGAGTCGATTTGTTCAAATATTTTGTATAAAAATCTACTGTTTATTAATCCGTTAGATTTTCTGCGACGATGCAGACGATGATTTAGTTATAATGAGAAATGGAATTTCTCAAGTGTCTCATTTTCTTGAGCGGAGACGATCTCTCCTAATCGTGAAATAATTTCGCGACAAATCCTGGATTAATCGAGGTAGCGATTATCTCGGAAGAAATTTAAAGACAAAGGCGACGGTTACCGCAATTATACGCCAGGCATTGAAGCTCGACGCATTGTTCGGGTGTAACTCGTAGCCATAACTTTCACGAATCGCGACGGTTTACGAGGCCGCGAAGATTATCGAATCCTTAACAAAATGATCTTCGCGAAGTCCTAGAAATTCGCGCGAAACGGTAACTGCAGCCGTTGCTGCGATTATATAGGATGTAACAGAGCACGTGAGGCCCATTTTCCGAAGGGATTCTGCACCTATAATGAAAAATAAAGACTGCTTATTCGTCTTCATGTATGAAATATTATGAATTTTCTATCGTTTTTTATTAAAAATCTGAAGTTTAATCAGCTTTAACTTATTTTTTTACACTTTGGGTTAGGCGTGATAATGCTTTGCAAAATAAATTCGATGTTTTGGTTGTACAGAATGAATAATTGATAAACTTTACCTTGGAGCTGTTCGTACACGCTGTCTCGGGAAGGACCTTCAAGATTCTCGAAAGTCTCTCGACACATTCGAGACTTTCAGCGCGTCCAACTTCGTTAAGCCTAATATGAGTCCGACGAGATTTCGCGAACCACTCGCGAGACCCCAATTCACACAATTTTCGTGATCAACCGTAGACCAATGCTAAATCACCGTTCGAATAAGTTTCCTCCCTTCGGAGTGATATGTAATATTTAAATAATAAACGAGGGTTCGCGTGTATCGCGGCCAGTCGAATAAATCGGTGGGCCCGGGGGTGTGGGCGGACAGGAAATTAAAACCCTCAATTAGTGCAACCTTGTAACCTTGTCAGCGAGTTCCTGCCACTTCGAGAATCGATATGGCTCCTCCTATAGATATACAAACGCCGCGTTCGCCTTGTCAGATCCCGTTAGCGGCATCAGCGACTGCTTTAGGGGAGCGTTGGAATCGACTTTTCGACTTAATTGCGTTGCGTCGTTATCCCCCGCAATCGTCGCTGCGACAATTATTTAACGAGCGCCAAGACAAAATTACACAAAGGGATACAATCTCTCAAATCTATGACCTACTTCCATCATACGAAACAATTAATTGTATCATTATTCTGTTCATTAAATCCAACCATAAGAATCGTCATTTACACGATAATATTATGATTGTAATATTCAGTGATTTGATTAAAAATTTATAGGAAGGACGTAGGATTTGGTAAAATTCAGTCATTCAATAAGTTCGATCAAATAGAAAGTTCTTAGAAAGTATTTATTAATCGAGTAACAGGGCAATCGGTTACACCTCATGACTATTCTAATTGATTCGCTCTATAGATGGTCTCGTGTTAATGACAAGGAAACATCTTATGCATGCTAATGAGTTAACCGGTATCCAAGTTTAAGTCGAAGGAAAGAAACGTGTCTGGGTAACACGAACAGAATGAGGATCGGAGGGTGCGTGGCGAACAATTCTAATAGATTCCCAGGGGTGAAATTCAGGTTCACCGACTAATCTTTCCACGACCCTCCCGCGGAAGGTCGTACCTTCATTTAGCATGGCGTCGCTGGCAAATGAAACCAGGCCATCGACGAAGGGCGCACGAATTCATTACGTGGCCCGCTTTTCGAACCCAATGGAATATATCTGATCGAACTCGCCTTCTTTCTCGTTTTTCCCTCCCCACCGAGTTTAATCTTCTTCCGGATTCGCGTGGATGTACCGCACGCTCCGCAGGATCGACAGTTTCCCTCCTGCTCATTTGCTTCCGGCTCTTTATCCGAAAACCTGTGGGTTTTCAATCTTCTAGTCAAGAAAAGCTACAAATATCGTTCAGATCGCATTTACGTTCATGTGATTCGAAGCGCGAGGGAGCCGAAACACAATTTATCTCTGAGAATGAAAAACTAGTTTCTGCCTGGGCAGTAATCGTTGTTCGTGATTTATAAGAAAAGGTCGTGTGTGCCAGGACAGTGGCCCTTCGCGTTCACGCATCAACAGGTGAACAATCCACCGATTTCGCTCGTGCGTGTTCCTCCAACCCCTTTCCCGAACGTCCTTGAGAACAATAAAAAAAAAAAAAAAGGGGGGAAGCAGTAAAAGAGTTATACTGGTAGGATGAACGAGAAGAGGTCGGCTCAGGGAAAGAGAAAAGAGGCGAAGCAAGAGAGAAAGAGAGAGGCGGGGCACCGTGGATCAATACACACGGCCAACCCCGTAGTAACGTATAGAATACCTTATTCATAACATAACGGCGTGTTTTCTTTCAACCCCCTCTCGTCCAGTCTCCGTACCCACATACGTGGTCAGCCTGTATTAACGTGCTTGGAAGAGAGCCGGGGAGTTGGAAGATATCCGAAGGGGTCGAGTTTGTGGAGATTACCAAGCTACCTTCTCTGTTCGCCGTTTAAGTCTCGGGTTTAACTCGCCGCGATCTGGGCAAAATGTCGAGGTTGCTCGTAAGGCCGAGCCGACGGTTTACGATACAATCGCGACGAATTAAAAGGGTTTAGTTTATCGTTAGGATTGGCCGTCGCAGTATTACTGTTGCCTCGATTGGATGTTCCGTTCGTTCGTTCGGAACGAGCTGTCGAATCAACGGTGAAATTGATTCTGCGGTTCCAAGGGCTTCGGCTCGTTGGCCCGTGATTAGCTATTGGATCGAGCTCGTGTGTCTTTTTCGACCAGGAACCTCGTCGACCGAGGAGTGTTATCTTCGCGTCCGTATATTCGTTTGATCGCGGAAACAATCTAATGGAAATGCAGATTTTAAATGTAGGGTGCATCGTAAACGGGGATGCAGCTCCTTAAGAGCGGCAAACGAACGTCGTTTCCGTTGGGATTGAATGCGAGAAGATTTTCCTGATCTTATTGTAATTCTTGACGAAACTGGATTTCGCGGAATTTCACTGAAGGGAGGGAGCTTCGGGTCGGAACGACGGGGCTATTGAACGATACGATATCGTTATTAAAGTCATCATCGTCATCGTCAACGGTGCGACCAATCTCACTTTTATACCCGTAATAATCGTTCCGTCTAAAGCTGCTTTAAACTTCTCCGTCAGTCTCTCGAACGTTTTTGTACACAGCTCTTTTTTCCCTCGTACCTGGCAGACGAGGGAAAGATAAAGAGCGGGATTATACAGTCGACTATAAATTCCTGTCGCCATATTTCGCGATGTCGTTAAAAATCGTGCCGTTTCTTTATCAGCCCTCGTTATATCTGTTATCCAGTCCGCCTCGCGTGAATTGCATCAATGAACGCCGCCTCGTCGCACCGTTTCTTCCTTTCGACGTGCCACCCCTTCTCTTCTCACCCCATCGCAACAGTGACATACAAATTAATAATTTCACGAATTCTGATGGAATAATTCAATTGCAAAT